TTACAAAGGGAGTGGATAATATTTTTCCTAATTTAAGAGGCAAAGTGAAAAGGCAAATAAAATTCGTGAAAGATTTATGATTTTTTTATTGAAATCATTTTGCCTTAATTCTGTATTTAGATGTACATCTTAATAAGATTTTATTTTATTTTATTTTATTTTATTTTACCAAAAACCCTTGGATAAGGCCTCGTTCATTTCACCGATTTGAGTTTTTAGTTTTAGGTTTCTACAGTAAAAAGCTCTCAGAAAATGTCACATATAACTTTTTTACTACAGTGAAAAGCTCTCAGAAAATGTCACATCTCAGCTCGAATTAAAAACTCGAATCTGCGAAGTAAACGATATATTCCTATCGTAGTCTAGTACGTAAGAATAATTTTTGACGTTTTCCTTTTGACTTTTTTCTCTTTAGAGAATAGTACTGCGTACTAGTTGTACATTATACACTCACACGGTGCATACAGTTGGGAAAAAAAAAACCCACACATTTTCGATGTATCATGCAATTCAAATTTTTTACTTATGGAAAGAAACGATCAAAACCATTGAAAATACTTTGCTCTTGTTTATTTTACTAGTTTAGTTCAGTTTCAATTCAATTTGAACAATGAGCACAGTTTATATTAGTGTTTAAGAAGCATGCATTTTTAATTATATTCTCCGTTTAAATTGAGTTAAACGACCAAACTTAGAGTTTAGCTCCCCCTTCAAGTTTAACCGTTTAAACCATTTTTGAACAGTAAAAAAATGCCCACGATCTCTCTACTTTTTACACCTACCAATACAAATTCGAAATATATTCTCTGTTCAAATTAAAACTTTAACTATATATCCAAAAGTCAATTCAAACTACAATTTAAACCACACAGTTAAATTTTTTTGTTTAAATCAAAAAATTCAAACAAGCGAACTAAATGGGAAATTTATCATTGTCAACTTTTAGTTTAAACATTTTTAATGGCTCCAATTGTTTATTTTCATCATCTACCAACTAAAGCATTAGCAAGGTTGGAAATTTTACCGAAATTTCTGAAATTTCGAATATGTGAGGGTCCCAAAAAACTTTTCCACTATAATATTGATTTTGACAAAATATTGAAAAATTTTAAAAAATTTCAGTAAATATCAGTCCAAATGTCAATATCAGTTTGTATATAGCGTAATTGTGGTGGAATTTTGAGAAATTTCGGTGATTTTGGAAACAAAAATGTTAAAATTTTTTTTTTTTTTTACTTTTTTAAATTTGCTTTATAATATCAGCTTTTTTGCGTTATTTCTTTTCTCATCTAGCATGTAGTAACAAACTTTGCGGAACTTAGTAAGAATCTTTTAGCTTTTATTTTTTCAGTCATAATTTTTCATTATTATAGCTCTTCCAATGAGACACCTAACGTTTATTATCCATATAATCATAATTTTGGAAACTAGATGGATATGGAATTTTCAATTATCGTCATCTGCACAAACTACCACCATCTCAAGCAAACGATTGGGAGAATTCACAGTATTCAATTCATGAAAATGAAGTGGGAAGGGATCAACAAACTTACATGTGGCATGTTCATAACTATGTTCGATATTATTCAAATAACATGTTATGATACTAATATTGTTTGAATTAAGATGGGATCTCGACCACGTATGAGCCTCATAGAACTTGTAAAACTTATTTATTTATGTATCTTTTTAATGTTTATGCTATCAAAAATTAGTATTAAAAAAATATATGTTCTAATATAAATTCCTTAATTTTCTTAAATTTTTAAGATATTTTCACCGATATTGATATTTTCGATATCAATATTTTTTCTGATGGTTCTGTAAAACTGGAGTACCAATATTTTTACTGGTGTGGTACATCCTAAATATATAAGATGTTATATAATATTGAAGTGATACGAATAACAACAAAGAAAGAGGAGACATGTGAACTGCATATCGAAATAACGCACAATGAAATCTAGACGTCCAATTACAAACAAAGAAACCAAAACAAAATTCATCATAGAGAATACAGAGTTCTGTATTAATCTAAAAACAATGATCCAATTAAACACAAAAATTAGAGGAAAAACATCCAAGCCAAGGCATTATTCTTCAGCCATAATTAGGAATGAACCCAACAAACAAGTTAATGAAGCTTGTTTAGCGCATGCATGGTCTGGGGTTCAAACACTTGCCACAACATGGAAAAGAGTCCAACAAACTTTCCACCAAGTCGTGTGCAGTGAACCAAGAGATTATCAGATACAGGAGAAGCTGCATAATTAGGAACATGGCGACTGGACAACAAGCGACGGCGTAGATAGGAATGGCGGCCTAGTGGAGCTTCTTCCTCATCATGAGCGCGAGCGTGGTGGCGAAAGCGACCATCAAAGCCGCCATGGAGAAGAACAACATGGTAAGGCGTAAAACCAGCTTCAATGGCAGGGACCTCCAGAAGTCCTGCTCTTGCATTTTAGAGGTCATGATGGAAAGGAAAATGACAACGGAGGTGAGGGAGAGAGCATGTCCGCGGTCGTGAAGATGATGAACGGCGTCTCTTTGAGGAGGGGTGGGTAGCCATTATCGTTAAAGCCGCCGGGGACAGTGTAGGAGCAGGTGTAGGCGATGGTGGCTATGAGGACGACGATGAGGGAGCATGCCTGCGTGGTCCGCATCAGCCATTCCTGACCACTCTTGACGAGGTCTTTGTGCTGTTTGATGTGTTAGGGAGATTGTAAAATGTCTTGATCAAGATCACAAGTTGTTTTAGTATGAAAACATGAAAACTCGTGTTAAAAGGATTGCAAAACGCTGCATTGGAGAAACTACTTTGATTCGGCCAAACCGGCTGCAGTCGAAATGTTTGCATGCCTCAGGTTTGTTTACGGCTGCAGTGGGAAAACATCCGCTGCAGCTGAAATTATGCAGAAAATAATATTTTCATGAGTTTATGTGATCTAAAACGTTTCGAACCATTACATCCATTGGTGATATATTTTCATACATATCTAAACACTAATTAGCAATAGATATAACTATTGTAAAAGGTGTATTAATCCATGAGAGCTTTTCACTGTAGCAGAAAAAGTTAGATATGACATTTTTTAATAGCTTTTTTACTGTAGAAACTTAAAACTGAAAACTCGAATCGGTAAAATGAACGAGGAAAATAATTATAGAAACTACTCCGAATACAAAATTAATAAAAATTAGGCCAAAAAATTAAAATTAAAGCTTTTTTTTTTGTTACTAAAAAAGAAATTAAAATTAAAGTTAAAACTAACAAAAGTTACATCCCAAAAAGTGGGATGTACTATAGCTTCTTCAGTACAATAGTTCATATTCCTCCAATAAGCTCCACTTGCTTTTGATCTTTTTTCTGCTGGAATTGTTACTAACTTTTGTTTCCTATACTAAAAAGAAATCTTCACATTCTTGCCATAATATGACACGCAAAGAATAAAAAAAATATTTGTTGTATGAAAATTTTTGAAAATATTTACCATATATTTATTATATGTATTAGTACCATGGAATAGTCCTCATAATTTTAATCTCGACGATATTTGTAAGTATATTAATTTTTTAAGTAATTCGACCAGAGATTAAATAGTCATTACACTATTTTTAAATTTCAAACTGCACTTATATATAATTAAAATAGGGAGGCATAAGGATCATCTTGGTGTGGAGTAGAATTCAAATGAAGTGGGTCACGATATAACATAATTATTAATACATAGTTACCACATGTCCCCTACCTACTAGTTTAGCGGGTTTATTATCCTTATTCTAGTTATAACAAATATTTTAGTAACAAAATCTTCCTTATTAACAATTATAAGAAAATAAATCCTTATCGATCTCTTGATTCAACAAAAGAAGAAGAAAAAAGTCAGTTGAAATCAAAGTAAAGTAAAGTAATTAAGGCATTATTCATTTCACCGATTCAAGTTTTTAGTTCTAAGTTTTTACAGTTAAAAACTCTCAGAAAATGTCATATCTAACTTTTTTTACTACAATTTAAAACTCTCAAAAAATGTCACATCTCAGCTCGAATTGAAAACTCAAATCCGCGAAGTGAACGAGGCCTAAGTTTCTATAATTTTTGTTGATCGAGTATTAGGAGTAGCTTTTGTTACTATTTTTTTTCAATAATTTGATTTTTTAATTTAAATTAGGTTTTAATTTAGTGCGGCATCTGCTTTTTCGGCCATTTGAGTTGAAAAACAAATGTGTTATTTGTGTTTCTAAATTCATGGGCCAATGTAAAAATGTGAGTAGGTTCGAAATTGTTAAAGTGCGGGAAGTGGAAAATTTGCTAATGTTTTGATTTACAAAGGGAGTGGATGATATTTTTCCTAATTTAAGAGGCAAAGTGAAAAGGCAAATAAAATTCGTGAAAGATTTATGATTTTTTTTTTATTGAAACCATTTTACCTTAATTATGTATTTAGATGTACGTCTTAATAAGATTCTTTTTTTTTTTTTTTTTTTAATTTTTACCAAAGGCCCTTGGATATAATCACACTAGAATGAAAAGGCACGATAAAGTGCAAACCGCAATAATACAAACTGACAATAAAGTAAAAACGACAAATAAAGATAACAACGACAAGAAAGTAGAATTCTAGAATGAACGACCGCTTGCCAACGACATATTGATTTTAAGCGACGACAAACAAAGCAAACGGCATTAACTAACAAGAGAGAACTAGAAGAGCGCCAAAACTGCAACATCAAACCAACGGAAGACGACACAAACTAAGCGAGGACAACTCAAAAATCGACAATAGAGTTTCAAACAACAACATAGCTAAAAACAACAAAATGCAGATTGAATGCAAGTATCGTCACTTTTAATTTTGTTACTCATTTACGCAAAGAGGATACCATCTCTCACTTTGTCCTTTTAAACTGAGAGATAAAGCAAGAATCGTCCATTCCGAGACCTTTTTCATTTAATCAAGCAAAGTGTATATGCCCTCTAACATAAACGTATTGTCCTTAAATTGTAAACGAACTTCACATCTTGAGAGAGAAAGAGAAAAGGAGAGAGAGAGGGAGAAAGAGAAAAGGAGAGAGAGAGAGAGAGATAGAGAGAGAGATGGGGAGCGTAGCAAAAATGAAGGAGCCTTACAGTGCAGCCATGAGCAAGGACTGGAAGAAGATGAAGGAATTCTACGAGCAGCACGAGGAATTTGTGACTGCTCCTTTAACAGTTTACGAAGACACCGCCCTTCACATTGCAGTGTGCAGCGGAGACAAAAAACTTGTCGAGTTTCTGCTCGATGAATTATTGAGAGATGATAAGGAGTCCCCAATATTCAATCCTTATCCCGAACTCGAAGGTTCTCCTCTTCAAAAAAAGAACGCGTATGGAGACACGGCTCTCCATCAGGCTGTCACCTGTGAAGATAACGATAAAGGTTTGGTTATCATTCAACTATTGCTGGATCGTGATCAACGGTGGAGGGAGGTGAGAGAGTTTATTTTTATTTTTTGCCTTATGGGTTGGGTTTTCAACTTTTTTTCATATATGCCCTCCTTAATTAACAACTTTTTTCCTATTAAATCTTAAACTTTGGAATGTACCTAATTGAATTATTTTTCCTTTAATTTACTCTTATGAAAACAATTTTTTTTTTTTCCAATTGGTCCCTTAGAAAAATATCTCTTTTTCTCATACAATCTTTATTATATCAAAAGTGAATAATCGGTTGATATATAGTTTCTCTCAAATGTGTTCCTAATTGAGTATTTATTTTTTCAAGTAACATTCTCAATTACTATTTTCTAATAAACACTTTTTCTCTAATTTGCCTTTGTTGAAGTAAATTTTTTCTTAAACATCCTTTTTTTTTTCTTGTGAAATTCCCAACTACTAATTTCTCATATACGCCACCTAAATAAATTTTTTTTTTTATTTAATTTGCATACTAAAGTTTTTATTACTCAAATATGTAAGTCTACTTGTCTATATGTATATACTAGTCAAAGAAAAACATGTTTTACCTGAAACATGCATTTCAATCCATTCTAGTAAAATATATACCTATGCATGTACATTACTATATTAAACTCTTGAAAAAGTAATAAAATCAAAAAAAGAAAAAAGAAAAATACACTGAACTCTTCAAAATTTAAATTCATGTATCAAAAGATTCAATGAACTGTTCAAATATGCACAGACTTAAAACGCACTTCCACCTAACTAATAGCTTATCGGAGCAAAAATCCTAACTAATAATATTAAGCGTTGATGTTATTAGGGTTTTTAACATTTTTCACACCCTTAGTTTATGGTCCCCAGAAATCAAATCATAACTCCGCTACTGACCCTGATAATGAACTTCTCAAAGTTAAGAACGACCGAGGAGAGTCCGCTCTGTTCCGAGCCGCGGCCTTTGGCAAGACAAATGTCGTCAGTTATTTAGCTCGTAAAGTCCGCTGCTGGGACGTTCACGTCAGGCGAAATGATAGTACCAGCATTCTTCACGTAGCCATCCTTGGAGGACACATGGGTAATAGCTAGTTTTTTTTTTTTACTTTAATCGTAACATGCAAAGTGTTTACATTTTCACAAATATGTGTACAATTTTTTCGATGCAGAAACCGCATTGAAATTACTAGAATATAACTGCGTAACGGCGGATTCAAGGGATGTAAATGGCATGACATGTTTTCTGATGGTAGCTAACATGCCAACTATGTTCAGGAGTAGATGCCGCATGGGCATTTTGACTGGGCTACTCTATTATTGTAATTGTCTAAAAACTCTTGTAATTGTCTAAAAACTCTTCTATTACTGGAGTAATTAACTTTCTAGCTTCACCAGATTTAAAAGCATTGATTTTCCGTGTGTTTGGATTATCCCCTCGTTGGAATATAATATATATATATATATATATATATCCTTTCTTCATACTTCTTCTCCTACGATCAGGCCTTCCAAAAACGGAAGACAAGGCTGCCTCGAGTGAAGATTCGAAGACTGGCCAGGGATCTAGCCCAGCAAATAATCCTATTGGTAAGTTGAGGCAAATGTTTTATTTCCTTGTACGGCTTTGGAAGAAAGAAAACTTTTCTACTTATTGTAAAAATAAGAAGTACAAGTAGAACTCAAAAGTGCATTAATATTTGTGCAAAGTAGTTTTCTGTGGGACTCGAATCACCTTTTTATTTATTTATTTATTTTAATTTGAGGGTGAGAGATTCGAACTCTTTACCCTATAGACAAGGCTGCCTCGAGTGAAGATTCGAAGACTGGCCAGGGATCTAGCCCAGCAAATAATCCTATTGGTAAGTTGAGGCAAATGTTTTGTTTCCTTGTACGGCTTTGGAAGAAAGAAAACTTTTCTACTTATTGTAAAATAAGAAGTACAAGTAGAACTCAAAAGTGCATTAATATTTGTGCAAAGTAGTTTTCTGTGGACTCGAATCACCTTTTTATTTATTTATTTATTTTAATTTGAGGGTGAGAGATTCGAACTCTCTACCCTATAGTGGAATCAGAGGTAAAATTACCTAAGTTGTGCTACCAATTACATCACTTGTTCAATTTTTATGTATAAGATAGTGTTTTTTCATGCTTGATATGACAAGATTAATTAGTTAAACACTAATTGAGTCATCAAAAATTAAAAGAGTGATTTGAATCCATTTTTTACACTTTACTAGCCTTGTGTAATGTACAAAGACTTTTGGAGCCTCCAAACTGGGCCATATATAGCTAATAATTAGCATTTGAAAGCATACCTTGTAAGCTTATTAAAAAAAAAAAAAACCCTTATTACTCAGCTAGATAGTAATTCTAGTGAACTAATATGATCTGAAGAATATTTCGAGTAACTAATATTTGAATTATTCAGTAAGCCTAAAACTCTAAAGGACTTGGAATATTTAACCTACCTTCCTAGCTTTACCAGATTTAAGCATTTTCTGCGTTGTTTAGAACTTCATTTTTATTTACATATAGTATGTACACACACACACACATATATATATATATATACATATATATATATTTCCTATTTGGAGCCTCCTAAAGCCAATACCAGAATGGGCCATATATTGCAACTGAGCATTGAAGGCACAGTGCTAATTATTTAAAGAACCGAAAAGACTATTATTCTAATAATTCATGTGAAATAATATGGTCTAATGAATAATTGAAGTAATTAATAAATATTTGAATTATTGTAAGTCTAAAATTTTACCTACCTTTCTAGATTATCAGATTTAAGCATTTTCCCTGTGATTTAGACCCCTCATTGATATATATCCTTAAATTTGATGATATAGAATCGCAGGGTGCCTCGAGTAGAGAGAAAGATTTGGAGAGTGGCCATGAAAGGATGTTACGGTCTACCCAGAAATCTAGCCAAGCAAACCAGCGTACTGGTAATTGAGGCAAACATTGCATTCTTGCTACACATGGAATTAGGCATATAATACCTTTTCCAGATGCTTTTATTCAAAGTACTGAAAAAGGCTATATTTTACTCTCGTAATTCTCGTTGAAATGATTAGATCTTGTTTCAAAAGAGTAAAGAATTTCTCTTAATTTGCTTTAATTTGTTTTGAACTACTGGATGAAAATGTTGTGTGATGCCAAACATTTTCAGGGATCTCAAAAGCGTACTCTACTTTTTGGAGTCGTGCAGCTGAAGGTAATTTGTAGATAGCTAATTACGGAATTCTGCAAACTTTGAAAAACAATCATACACACATGCACACAGACACTAATACAAATCTCGGATCTCAAGTAATGACGAAAAACATATAAAAAAAAAAAACTTTAGTGAATTTTGCTGAAAGAGGATTTTCTTGCTAAATGTTTGCTTAATTATCTGTCGACATTGGAATCCAAAAAGTAATGCCATTCGTTAAAAAGCTGTGGGACATAAAGAAGAGGCACAACAAAGTAGTGGAGCTTGTCGAGATTCTGGCTAAAAAGGATCTGTCATGGACTGAAGCAGACTCCGGAGCCTCAGGCCGAGAAAAAGAACAAGAAAATCAAAATACCATGCCTGTTGTGCATTCTGAAACAAGTACTTTTCGATCCGAGAGTCCTCTATTTGCAGCAGCAAGAAACGGGATCATGGAGATAGTAAAGTCTATTCTTGACGAGTATCCACAGACCATAGAGCATGTGAACGACAGAAACGAGAACATATACCATGTTGCAGCCAGATATCGCAGAGCACAAATATTCGACCTTCCTCATCCTTCAAGCATTCGGAAATTATCGTTGTTGAGGCAGATCAACACAGCTGGTCGGTTTTTTAATTTTTAATTTTTTATTTATTTATTTTTTTTTCATTCATTTTGTATGTGCCTCTATTATTAGTCTGATTATATATACCTCATTATTTCTTTTGTGTTTCATATTGTGCTCCCACTAAAAATAATAATAATAATAATAATAATTATTATTATTATTATTTCGTGACTCTGCCACACCGTAGAAGGTGACAGTGTTTTGCATGAAGCGGCGTATTTGAGCGAGAATTTCGTGAGGGATAGGCCTGGGGAAGCCCTTCGTATGCAGCTTGAGATACAATGGTTTAAGGTGCCAAGTTTTCTCTCATTCACTTCTCTGTTTTGTATATCTAGCACATCAAAATTTCCGGATTAGTGTGGAAGAAGAAGAATGGAAAAAAGATATTTCTTATTCAATAATATGTGGAAATATCAATGTTTTGTGCATGAAGTTTACAGAGGTTGATACTAGATTAGTTAGCTAGCGTATAAATATTTAACCTCTAAAAAGCTCCAATTCGTTTGATTGAATAAAAATGCAGAGAGTTGAGGAAAAAGTGCCTCCATATTTGGTCAACCACCGCAACAAAGTGGGGCACACAGCCAAATCCTTGTTCATCAAACAGCACAAAGACCTCGCCAAGAGTGGTGAGGAATGGCTGATGCGGACCGCGCAGGCCTGCTCCCTCGTCGCCGTCCTCATAGCCACCATCGCCTACACCTGCTCCTACACTGTCCCCGGCGGCTTTGACGATAAGGGCTACCCACCCCTCCTCAAAGAGACGCCGTTCATCATCTTCACGACCGCGGACACGCTCTCCCTCTGCTTCTCCCTCACCTCCGTTGTCATTTTCCTTTCCATCATGACCTCCAAAACGCAAGAGCAAGACTTCCGGAGGTCCCTGCCATTGAAGCTGGTTTTAGGCCTCACCATGCTGTTCTTCTCCGTGGCGGCTTTGATGGTCGCTTTCGCCGCCACGCTCGCGCTCATGATGAGGAAGAAGCTCCACTGGGCCGCCATTCCTATCTACGCCATCGCTTGTTGTCCGGTCGCCATATTCCTATTTATGCAGCTTCCGCTGTATCTGAGAATCTCTTGGTTCACTGCACACGACTTGGTGGAAAGTTTGTGTGACTATTTTCCTTGTTGTGGCAAGTTTTTGAACCCCAGACCATGCATGCGCTAAACAGGCTTCATTAACTTGTTAATTTGTTGGGTTCGTTCCTAATTATGGCTGAAGAATATGCCTTGGCTTGGATGTTTTTATTCTAATTTTTGTGTTTAATTGGATCATTGTTTTTAGATTAATATAGAACTCTGTATTCTCTATGATGAATTTTGTTTTGTTTTCTATATGTTTCTAATTGGACGTCTAGATTTCGTTGTGCGTTATTTGATATGCAATTCACATGTCTCCTCTTTCTTTGTTGTTATTTGTATCACTTCAATATTATATAACATCTTATCTATTTAGGATGTACCACACAATTAATCCTAATGCTCAAGGATGAAAATATCGGTATAGGAAAAAATATTGCTACTCCAGTTTTAAGGAACCATGAGAGAAAATATCGGTGGAAATGTCCACCTATTCCTGCATTTCCATGCATTCCAGCCTCCACGGACCATGGGAAAAGCTAATCTGCATATCTATCTTCCGAGGCTGGTGATCTCAATGAATCGGACAAAAATCCATGCTTTGTGGCTGCATCTCCCCCACCTATCTAGGCGTTATCCCCATGGCAAAGCATCGAGTGTTAATATGTATATAAAGGAATCAGCCTCACTGGACTCAATGACGAGCTGACAAAAACGCGTTCAGTTGTTAGCTGGCTTAGCGGCTTGTTAGTGCGCTTATGCCTTCCAGCGGAGTTACGTGAGCGGCCTCTAAGTTCTAGACTCGAGTTCTAGCTCTCAAAACTTATGAGTTCTCAAAAGACCTTTGAATGAGTGAGTTCTTAGTTCTCTTGACCTACTCAAGACCATATAGTAAAGTGCGTTAGTTTTTTCCTTACCAAAATGGAGTTAGAGTCTAGCCGTATTTATACGAGTGAGTGTAGTGGGCGCATTCTCTTTCTTCTCTTTCTAAAAACACGGAAATGAAGACTTTCGAGAACAAGGACCGGAAAGAAAAAGGGGGAAAAAGTAAAGGAAAAGCGCATATGGCATGAAAAGGAAATCCATCCTCTTGAAACGGGTCAATCAACCCTAGAAGACTCGATGGCTTAACAGCCCAGTGAATAACCTGATTTAGAGAGATAACCCGGTCTTTAGACACTCGCCCTACTTCTAAGGATAGATAGAAAAAGTTGGGGAAAGTACCAGATTCGGAAGCAGTTCCAGTCCCAGCTGCTGAGGTGGCGTAGTGACAGGTGGGAGCAATAACAACAGAAGCAGCGGAATATCCTGCAGTAGTATATTCGGTTGTTTGCGGTGGAATAGATTCAAGCGTCTGGGCCAGTAGATCCAGAGCAAATAGGCGTTGACTTAGTTGCTTTTGCAGTGAAAAATTTACAAAAATTAAGGAACTTACATTAGAACATATATATGTTTTTAATACTTTGATAGCATAAATATTAAAAAGATACATAAATAAACAAGTTTTACAAGTTCTATGAGGCTCAAACGTGGTCGAGATCTCATCTTAGTTCAAACAATATTAGTACCATGACATGTGCCACATGTAAGTTTCTTGATTCCTTCCCATCTCATTTTCATGAATTGAAAACTGTGAATTCTCCTAATCGTATGCCTGATATGATGGTGGTATGTTCGATTGACGATAATTAAAAATTCCATATCCATCTAGTTTCTAAAATTATGATTATATGAATAATAAACGTTAGGAGTCTCGTTAGAAGAGCTATAATAATGAAAAATTTTAACTGAAAAAATGAAAAGCTAAAAGATTCTTACTAAGTTCCGCAAAGTTTGGTTACTACATGCGAGATGACAAAAGAAATAACGCAAAAAAAAAAAAAAATCTAATATTATAAAGCAAATTTAAAAATGTAAAAAAAAAAAAACTTTAAAATTTTAATTTCTGAAATCACCAAAATTTTAAAAAATTATGCCCTAATTACACTATATGCAAACCGATATTGACAATTGGACTGATATTTACATAAATTTTTGAAAATTTTCTGATATTTGGTAATAATCGATATTATAGTGAAAAAAAATTTTGAGACCCTAAAAAATATGAAATTTCAGAAATTTCGGCAAAATTTCCAACCTTGCTAATACTTCAGTTGGTAGATGATGAAAATAAACAATTTGAGCCATTAAAAATGTTAAAGCTAAAAGTTGACAATGGCAAAGCCCCCGTTTAGTTTGTTAGTTTAAATTTTGTTGGTTTGAACCTTTTGATTTAAACAGAAAAATTCAAATTGTGTGGTTTAAACTGTAGTTTGACACTACAAGAAAAAGGGTTATTAGCGACGACAAAAAGTAGTTGCAAAAAATCAAGTTATCGCAAATAAATATTTAGCGACCACTTGTTGTCGCAAACCTATCGCTGCAGTTGAATAGTCGCAAAAACAATTTTTGCAACCACATCCTGTTGTCGCAATTTTATTTGCGACGACAGTCGTCGCAAAGGAGTCGCTTCAATTATTTCGTCGGGTACATCGTTAAGATGACATGGCAAAAAGTATTTGCGACGATATTTTTTGAATCAAGTCGTCGTAAAACACGCAGTTGTGGCTGACATGACATATATGTTTTGCGACAACATTTGTCGTCGTAAACACTATTTTAATTTTTTATTCATTTTTTCACATTTTAATAATTCTAATAAATATAATTCATTATATTAAATATAAATAAAAAGAAATAAATAATAAAAAAATATAAATAAAAATTATTATGGTAAAAAGTAATTAATAAAATAAAAATATAATTATCGTAGAAATGTGCGGAAGTACAAATTGTTAAATTAATAAAATTTTAGTCTCCTAAATTAGCAGCATCACTAGAATTATCGTTGTTATCATCAGAAGGATTCAGAGGCGGATGATCTGGACGGACATACGGCTCAGGAGGAGTAACCGCTGGGAAAGTCATGTTGGAGTGCATTTTACTCATGATATCCTGCATCATTCTGAGGCTCTCATACATCTGAAGGTTTTGCTGGTAAGTCCGTTGTAAGTATTCTTCTACGTGTGGGTCAAAACGTGCCGAAGAAGATCTTGCCGAGCGCGAGCCAGATGACGACGCATCCCCTCGATAAACTTTTTGTGGGAGTGTGCAACCCACTCCAATCTTGTGTCCTCTGCGGGTGCCCAGAAACAAATTTTAATCTAATTCTCATATATTTCAATTTCAATTCTAATTTAAAATTCACAAATCTAAATTTAAAACCACAAATTATATCTAAAATCTAAAACAAAATTATAAAACATAACAAAAATACCAAAATCAATTAACAAAATATCAAAATATTAACTCACAAAATTCAAACCCACAAATACCGGGGGTTGGAGAACGGTAAGGCTGCAAAATGGGAAGGCGACGGCGGCTGGAATATGGGTGGCGACGGTGAGGAAAAAACACCATTTTTCCAGTTTTTTTCACAATATTTTTCGGTACAAATGAATGATTTGAAGAGAGAATGAAGTATTTAAGCTTTTTTCGGAGATTTTGGACGGTATGTGGTGGTTTTGGACGGAGAGGAACCAAAAAAATGCAAGAGCTCACCGGAAAAAAATGGCGAAAGGAGGGCTGGGTCAGGGTTATAGTTTTTTTGTGACGACATTATATTGTTGCAAAAAACATAAACTAGTCGTCGCAATTAGTGTCAAAACGACGGCGTTCTTCTTCACCTCATTAATATTTTTGTGAATATTCTTCAGGAATATACCCTGGTTTTTCTTTTGTGACAACACTTGAACAATGTCGTCGCAAATAATTTTCAGGAAACCACCAAAGTTTTCGCCTTTTTTTTGTGAAAAATTGAATCCCATCTTATTTGCGACGACAATGTGGTCGCAAAAAACATTCGTTTCTTTTTCCTAATGACACGTGTCGTCGCAAAAAAGCCGTTCTGGAAAGAATTTTCTGGAACCATTATTTGCGACGATTTTATACATTGTCATCGCAAAAGGAAAGAAATATCGAGAACCTATTCCCGGGAAACCGTCAAATTCCCCGCGCTCTTTTTGGCCACGTCACCGCCAGCTGTAACCTTCTCTATTTGCGATGACATGTCCTCACAAATATGTACAAACTGGCGCCAAAATTATTGACGCCAGATTGGTTTTGGCGCCAATGGTTAATAGCGGCGACATGTCATCACTAATATGTATTTCTATTTTAGCGACGACGTGTTGTCGTAATTTTATCAATTTTGTGCAACGATAAGTTGTTAAAAAATTTTCTTTTCTTTTCAGCGATGACAAGTCGTTAAAAAATTTTATTTTCTTTTCAGCGACGACATATCATCGCTAATATGAAAACTTTAGCAACGACAAATGTCATCGCTAATAATGTCGTCGCTAATAACCCTTTTTGAGCCATTAAAAATGTTTAAGCTAAAAGTTGACAATGACAAAGCCCCTGTTTAGTTTGTTGGTTTGAATTTTATTGGTTTGAACCTTTTGATTTAAACAGAAAAATTCAGATTGTGTGGTTTAAATTGTAGTTTGAATTAATGTTTAGATATATAGTTAGAGTTTTAATTTGAAGAGAATAAATTTTGAATTTATATTTGGAGGTGTAAAAAGTAGAGAAAATTTGTACTTTTTACTGTTCAAAATAGTTTAAACCGCTAAATTTGAATGAAAGAGCTAAACTCTAAATTTAGCCGTTAACTCAATTTAAACGGAGAATAAAACAAAGTGTTTTTACTGTTTAAATTGAATTAAATTGAACTAAACTAGTAAAATAAACATGGACAAAGTATTTTGAATGGTTTAGATCACTTCTTTCCATAAATTAAAATTGCATGATACATCGAAATAGGGCTGTTCATGAGTTGGGTTGGTGCGGGGTATGACTTTTTTTCCCCGCCCCAAAGGGTGCGGGTTGCACATATTTGGCCCCAATGATATTAGAAAAATTTCACAACCCAACGATGTTCGGGTTGGGTTGGGGCGGTGCGGGGTGGGTTGGGTGGTCGGTTTCAACATTCAAAAAATCAAAGACTTAAAGTTCAATATAATATTCAAACTTCATCATTAAATAGAAAGAGCAACCATCCTTATCAGTCCGGCGAGAGAGCACCGAAAAAAGTGGGCAAGACG